CCTACATGTACGACTTCTTCAAATCATTCCAAGAGGACAATTGTATCGAAAGAGTTAAAAAGGTATTTTTAACTACACTCAAATTATTAGCTTTTATGTTGTTGTTTTAAACAGCAGTGGCATTATAGATTCTGTTTCCAGTTTCTAGACGAGATCTCCTCGAACGTCAGCAAAGAGTCTAGTGGGCTGGAGGACGCAGTGGTTCTCAAGGAGGGGTGAGTGATTAATAGGAGCCTAAAGAGGATCAGTAGAAAGGAAATGTGAGATGAAGAGGCTTAACTATTATAACCAACACAATTCAAACGTTCTGCATTAATCATGAAGTGGTAACTGAAGTGTAATATTTGCGACAGATTTTGCTATAGCTTCATGCAGACAAGATGAAAATCAGAGCATTCACCACAACATGAAACAACCACGAAACTGTAATAAACAATGAGCTTGAAATCAGATCGAATGCAACTGGAGCTGAGTTGGACATTAAGACAAAACAAGCTTAAAAAAATGTCCACAATTCTCTATATATACTTAGCTCTTGTAAAACATGACCGACCTTCTGAATCTTAATCTTGTGTGTCCTTGTAGGGAAGTACAGAAACGTGCCCAGGGGAGGAAACGCCTGGGGAAGAAAAACTTCAAGAAGCGATGGCTGAGAGTGACCAACAGGGAGCTCTCCTACCACAAACACAAAGGTGAGGATAGTTTCTATCATTTCATTTCAAACCAAATACACTTCTCATCTCAAACTTTAATCACTAGTGAATTGCCCATTCTAAACATGCTGGTTTGGAATGGCACCATTAAACAACAGCACATTAACGGCAACAACAACTGATTCTACACTTGGATATTAGTATTATGTTATCTCTCTCTCTCTCTCTCTCCTCTCTCTCTCTCTCACACACACACCCACCCACCCATACACATTTTTACATATAAAACTTGCCTTGAGCTCTTGCCCTATTAAAGGGTAAATTACAAGCTGTGGAGCTTCACTTTCTTATATTTAATGATTTTACAAGGAGCACATTGTTCAACACTAGCAAACAATATAAATGAAAGACTTCTGCTTTTCAGGGAAAGAGGCCCTCTGCATTATCAACGTCAAAAATATCCAGGCGGTGGAGAAACTGGATGAAAGTGCCTTTAACCGCAAAAATGTGAGTCAGTTCCCCTGCGACGCTCAATCACCCCTTTACGGCCATGGCCCCACTTGTAATGGAGATTTTCGCCCCAGTGCAAGTTAAAATAAACAAATGATGTTAATGTGAGCATATGTTGACACGCTGCTAAACTTGTTCAAATCAGCCTAGAAGTGAGTTGTCACTTTAATGGGAAACATATTTACTCAGGTTGATGCAGGTGGAATGTTGAATTCATCAATAACCTCATTGCTTCTCTAATTGTACCATAAACTAACCTGCCACTATTTTACATCAGACTGTAAAAGTGCATGAAATTCTTTCTTTCCTTTAAAGGTACAGTGTGAAGAATTTTGAGATATCTAGTGTTGAAATTGCATGTTGCAGCTGAACACCCCTCACCTCACCCTCTCCTTCCAAACATGAAAAAGAAACTGTAACCTTCAGTTGTCAGAAAAACTCAAAAGATGTTTAGTTTGTCCAGTCTGGACTAATGTCAAAAACATGGTGGCCTCCGTAGAGAGGGTGCCCTCGATGTACATATAAAGTATTTCAATATAAAGGGCCTTTTCTGGGGTAAAGAAAACTACAATTCATACAATTTAGATGAAACAAACTAGTGGAAACATCATGAGAATTATTCTACATTAAATTTCTGCCAATAGATCCCTTTCACCTAAATCTAACACACTGGACCTTTAAGCTGCTCTGTCTCTTGTGTCAGATGTTTCAGGTGGTCCACTCTGAGAAGCCTCTGTACGTACAGGCAGGAAACTGTGTGGAGGCCAGCGAGTGGCTGGATGTCCTGGGTCAGGTCACACGCTGCAATGAGGGACGCTTGGCCAACTTCCACATTTCTAATTACAGTGCTGGAGCCTGGCAGTGCTGCAAAAACCAGAACAACAACGCACCAGGGTGCAAGCCCTGCACAACGTGAGTCTGTCCTCTCCACCTCCAGAAGCAGCAGGAGGACTAGTTCATCTTCTATATAATATCTGATAATAATGACTTTATCTCTAAAGCACTAATCTAAACAAGGTTACAGAGTGCTTCACAAAATACATGGCAATAAAAAAACAAATGAATAAAAACAAAAGCATCAAATCATAACTTATCAAGGTTTAGACATTTCTACTACTATATTAAGCATTTGGTATTCACTGAAAATAAACTCAGGCCTGACTCGGTTGGACTGGTATTTTTTATTTAAACAAACATGTATTTTTTTCTCTGCTATTTATTCTCAGCACTGTGTTGGCCAACCTACAGCTTGACATAGACTGTGACCGGGAAACAGAGCGAATTTTCTCCCTTCTTTCTTCAAACGACACCAAACTGCAGGACATGGAGGGTCAGTGCCTACTCATACAAATCTGTTCATCAGCAGGTTCTGATTGTTGTTAAGTGTCACAAAGTTCTGCACGGCATCATTGGGTAGGGAACTGTTGGATAGGAACTGTTGGATATCAGGGCATGTATCAGAAAATCAAATGTATCATGTGTCAGAAATTCTGAGTCTACATCTGAACTAAAAGAGAAGCCAAATATAATAAAAAACATCAGGTAGATTTAAGAGATTTATTTATTTCTGTAACTTTTCAGAAACTGACAGTTCAACATTTGCACGCACACATACGATTTCTCTGATCAAACATAACCCGACCTGTCAGCTCCACTTCATAATGCAACATTTATCCTCTCCATAGATGCATGTGCCAGTATGGCAGTGTACCAGGGCCCTCAGCGGGAGCAGGAGGAATGCTCCAAGTTCACCATTCAGGAACCCAAAGAGACGTTTCAGACGCTCAAACAGCTCCGCAACGTCATGGAGGAACTTCAGAGGCAGCACAACATCAGGAACGACACCACGGCGCAGTATGGCAGCGTGTAAGTCTGCACCGCTGTTACAGAATGCTTGATCTGCAAAACATGTGTATGACTTGATAGACATATATATAGTTTGCTGTTTTCAGTTTCAGTTGATGTTTGACCACATGTGGAACTGTTATTTTGTTCTTTGATTTGATTAATGATGTAAAAACTAGCGATGCAGGATACAGATATCGGCCCAATACATGATCGTCTCGATAATGTGAATTTTCTATTACATTTTTTTGAGCGGTTAATGAAATTATAGCCGATAAAACGTCCTGACGTCATACATCCTGTCCATACCACATTTACGTTGAACTGAGAATGTTGTTGCCGGTGTGGATGTTTTTCACAGTTTCTGAGAGTGACTGTAGGACTGCAGTTTGCAACAAATTTGCAAAGGTTCTGAAAGGAGGAAAAATATTTGCAAATTTCAACACGGAGAAATGTTCTAAAACCTAAAGTTGGTTGAAGTTTTCTGATGCACTTCACTCAAAAACTAAATGAACACTCAGAACCGTGTCAGAACTGTTTTTGAATGGAAAAAATCCATATCGTGCGTCCCTAGTAAAAACTAAAATGGCAATGGCTTGGATATCTATGCCGAGGCCCAGTCCCCTCAAAGTCCCACTCTATTTATTATCTACTTTATTACAGCCCCTGAAACTTTTCTTTTATCTTCAAAATGACGTCTTCAGAAGTTTGATCAAAAATTATTTTCATGACCTTAATATGGCTTAAATGTAACTCTACACCTTCCCTCCTTATTTTATTCCTCGCTCGCACAGATTGGAAGTGAATGGGAGATGAAGGTTTGTCACTGATATGTGTGACCGGGCCCCCAAGGTGGAAATACTCAGCCTTATGATTTTATCATATAAATAGGCGTGTCAGCTTGTTCAAAAACTTTATTTTCACCAGAGGGGAACTTAGAATTCAATCAAGCTGCACTCATAAATATCAGTCCCCTATAGGCCAGATTTTTTTTTTCATCAAGATCCATAAATTATTCCCTGAGAAATAGGAGAAATAAAAAAAAAAATAAGAAAACTTCCTCTCTTAATGCCAAAGAAAATGGAAAATGTCCCACCCTTCCACAGACTGGGGTGAAAACATAACCTGAAGTAATCACTGCTGCGATCACTCTGACGGGCCCACGCCTTCATCACTGCCATCCTGTCTGTTTCAGGGCCAACCCGATAGTGGGGAAAACCTCCTAACCAGGACGGGCAGGTGTGGCCTGAGACGGTGGTACCAGCAGGTGTCAGTAGATCACGAGCAGCGCTGCAGTGACACACTGGCGTCTCAGAGGAGTGATGGGAGTTGTCCCTCCGAGAACAGCTGCTGTGTGTCCAGGAGAAGAACAACTGATACACCCTGACCTCCAGACATCTTGACTCCACCACTGCCACGTGGGAAGTGGATGGATTGAAAGCTTTTCCTGTGTCTCTCCTCGTGTTCTCGTGCCACCTCCTCCTCCTTCACCTCCTCACGTAAAGACACTCCCTCTCTTGATTTACGTCCTCTTCTACGTCTCCAGCTGTATCAAAAAGGAATAGTTAGAATAAGTGTGTGAATAGGCTGCTATTTTTTTTTTATTCACCAAATTTTATATCGACAGCTGAGTATGCTTTCCCAATCTTTTAACAGTTTGCTTTTCGGAGTTGATTGATAATCACCACGTTTCTAGAGGAGCGTCCTCCCCTTGTGCCTGAGCACATTTAAAATCTTCCTCCATTCTTATTGTCCTTCCTCCCCTTAACAAATGTGTATATATATACATACATTTTCTGAGTAGATGAAACCGATCTGCCTTACTTGGATGGATGTTTCTTTCAGATTAAACGCTGAGGGAATAATGCAGAAGCACTTTAAATATTTGGAACTATCCAAATGAAAAACCATTAGATACTTGGTATCAGCTTTTCCCCCATTTGATCAGTTACATGATCATATTTGTTTCATTCCTGTACAATAACATTGACAGCCTTTAGTTTTTAAAAATATTTTTCTTGACCAAAGACAATTTCATAGTTTTGACTTGAAAAAATGAAACATGTATTTTGAATACAAATGTTTTAAAAATGAATATATATATGGTTTATGTGTACGTTTTTTTTTGTTTTTTTTGCTAACATATCGTTTTACTTTAGTGACTTTAGGCAAACGGATTGCATGCGTTCAGTTTTGAATCCTGATAGCACATGACTGTGGTTTAGAGTTGTGTTTCGCTGTGATTGTGAGTCTTATTGGTACGTCGTACCTCAGATCTGTGCTGTGAAGTGGAGAGCATTGCAACATGTCTGTAGTGGCTAAGAAATGAAATGCTGGAGGAACAAATGAGCCCTGTTATCCCTAAATTAGCCCCAACAATCACACCATGTCCTTTTTTTTTATCTCTCAGAAGATCAGTTCAGTGCAGCTCCAGCTGTTGTACTTTATGGTTTTAGAAAAAATAATAAAATTAGAAAAGACGCGACACTCTGTTGCCTAAAACTTGTGTTTTTAAGTTTTCCTCAGCTTTTAGTCACAGCACCCCACTGCCATAACTGCTGCCCAAACCCAAAGAGTCAAGAAAAGTCCTGTGTTGTAAAACAAAAATATATGCATTCAACCTAAATAATAATAATGCACATAATTACGCTGTTAAAATGACTCAAATTTGAGATAAATTCTTATCCTAACAATCATATTTTGCAGAAGTAGGGCTGCACAGTACAGTAATAGAAACGATTCTATAAACTGACAGAAAGAGATTTGCTGATTTTTGAACTGAAGAAAAATCTAAATTTGATTGACTCCTGTTTTGGTTTTGTTTGTCTCCTGTAATGTTTCCCATCATTTGCCCATTTGAACAATTAAGTTTTGAAAAATAAAGAAACTTGCATTCATTTTAACAACAGAAGTTTCATGCTGATAATACAGGCTTAACCCTGGGTTTTTTGGCCTTTAAAAATAAGTTGTTTTGCCTTTGGTCTGTTATATATTTCTAACATGCAAGTCTTGTATAATTAACATTATATTTTTATAGGAAAACTTTTTTTAAATCTTTTTTTTAACACTGAGTTAATCGTTGCTCTTCTGGTACGGTACCTGGTTCTCTATCTGCATCACTTCTTTCAGGCTTTTTGTTTTTGTTTTGTCACCAACTGGATGTGGTTGTAGCTGCTGCTGAACCTCCACTCGTCCACTCGTTCATGTTAACACGGTTACTGAAGTGAATATTATGCGGGATGTTTAATCGGAGCCATAATACAAATGTCAAACGATTGATTTTTAATTTATCATTTGATGATTTTTCTGTTCTTGTGAAGCATTTTGAATCGGAAAGAAAATTTTCCTGGATCAAATTTCAACAACTGTGGGATCTGAATTTGAACTCATCAGGGCATAAAGATATTTTTATATATTGTATAAACTTGCATGTCCACCGCAGTTTTTAAAGAGCCACTGCACTAGCAGATGAGCTGCTCGTCATCTTCACGTGAAGGTGAACAGAGGGTTTTTATTTCTGTTCACTTTGTCTCTGAATCATGAGTTATTCCATTTGTTTATCATATTGTCATATCATTGCATTCATGTCAAATGAAATCGTACCTTCTCTTCAACCACTAGTTTGGATGCAGGGGAAAGAAAAACTCACTCTACTTGCAGGTAGCTTTATTACCTGGTGGCCTTATTTGCTAATTGAATTATAAGTAAACATTAAAAGCTGGTATTTGCAGCATAAATACAATTGACAGAGCATCTTAATGCAGACAAGATATATTACTGATCATCCTATTTAATAACATACTGACAGACCAATTAACTATTTGACACGGTAACAATTACAGTGAAGTTGACAGAGTGTTTAACATGAAACATTAAATAAGTTGGTCCACATTCAGTTGGGAGAAGAAGTGAAAATGTGTTCAGACGTGATCACATCAACCAACGACTCAATCGCCTGTCAGACTACAGCCCTTATGAGATGGATGTGGAAACACGCACAGCGGTCTGGCAGTTGTTGAATCACACAGCTCTTCTTGACTCGTTGAATTGTGGCCACAAGGGTTTAGTTTAAACGTTGTTCATGTTTGCTTTGAAGGATCAGATGGACAAAACAAATCAAACCACATATCTGATGTTTCTGATCTCTTCCTGTCAATTATAAAAATGAGAAAATGTCAGTTTTATACAAGAACGAAAACTGATTTGAGGTTCAGGTGTACACACATTTATTTTTCAAATGCTGACATGAAATTGCAAAACAATCTTATAATCAACTTAGAGAGGCAGTGGCAGCAGAGTGCAGGTTTAAAATTCAGTGTGAAGTATTTTTCTTTGTAATGTCAGAGCTTCTGTATGTCCAGTGTCGTCAGTACTTACAGGAAGCAGACACTACCTTCACATCTCCAAATAATTTCTTCTGAATGTTTCCATGCAACTTCAGCACAGTGTCTATTCTTTTTATACACATGAAATGTTTATTTTTCATACATGGTCTCGTCAGTGTCCTTTGAAACAAGTTACAATAAACACTTTGCCCCTAATTCTCCTGTGTGTCAGGTTTTTGTGCTCGTAGTGATAAAAAAAATCACTGATGAACATTATAGGAGCATCGTGGTGACACCTGCTGGATTGTGTGTTTTATGAAAATGTGGGAAGCAGATGACATCATCGCACCAGTTGATCACCACGTCATCTATGTCTGTTATTTAGCAGGATTTCAAAAAACATTACAAGACGAATTACCATGAGACTCGGGGGAAGGATGTGGATCTGAATTGGGTTGGTGCCAGGAATATTTTTTGCCAGATTTGATCATCTGAGAATAATTAATGGATGTTGATGAAAAAAATCTGAAATTTTTAAGGCGACTGATATGTATCTTCCCTGCTCTTCCCTGGCAGTAGCACAAGAATCTAAATCTGAGGCCACTTTTCTTGTGTTCTGCAGTCTCTGACTTTCTCTAGTTGCTAAGAACATACATTAAAAACGTAAAGTGATTTGTGGATAGTGCACAGAGAGAGTTAAGCTGAGTAACACTGTCAGATCTAGAAAAACATGGTATCTACCATAGACTGTAAATGAAGATAGATGGCTGTTCCCCAAAAGGGAGGCCAGAGTGTCTTGATTGCCACCTGGTGGCTGGCTGCAGTATAGGTGAAAAAAAGTACTTGTCAATTAGTTTTTCTCTAAGATGGTTTCTGTCATTTTAGGTATTTTCTTATCACACTGATGTTTGTTCAAGTGTTCATTTTTATGATAAGTGTGGTTTCAACTGGTTATTTGATATTATAAAAACAGGCTGAAACAACATGACTGACAGGTGAGGCTGGCTCACGATTGGTTGAGCACATTTATCAACAGGACCTTGCCACCTCAGCTCCATCCCCCAATCACAGCATTCGTACACCGGATATTTTATCTACATTTCTGGATAGTGAGAGGAAGTGGAGACGTGTCATCCATCTTTGTAGTCTGATCTCCACAGCAGGTATCTAACAATCACAGCATTTTATTCGTTTCTTGTCGCTTCTCCATTAAATCTTCAAGCTGATTATGAAACTTAAGGTAATAATATGGTGGGTTAAGGATGTTCCCTACATTTTGGTTGATATCTAGTGACCCCCATTCTATTATTTCTGCTTGTATTTCAATTCTCTTCATTTTATCCTGCTTCAGCTTATTTTGTCCTGGTTTTCTTTCATGTGTTGTTTTAATGCATTCTAACATCTCATGAATCTGACTTTCAATCTCCTCTGTATAAAAGTGCTTCAGGGAGACTCCTGGTTGACTCTGCAGGGTGCAGTCAAACATGCTGAGCCCAGACACAAGAAGTAAAACATTTAAATAGCCATCAATGAAGTATAACTGTAATTGTATAACAGTGGGCCCCTTTCTACCTATATTCATGAAATACAATTTTTAGCATAGATCAAGCTGTTTCAAGCATAGACTGTATATAAAAATGGTTGACATGACTGCTCCCCAAAAGTAGATGCGTCTTGATCATCACCTGGTGGCTGGCTGCAGTCAGGTCATAAACCCCGCCCCCTAAATGTTAGTGGAGGAGAAATGGACCAAATTAAAATGTTACACGCCAAATACACATGGTGGCGTTCAGATCCCGGACATTTTGGCTCCATTTATGGATAATGTGAGGAAGTGGAGACACATCATCCATCTTTATACTCTATGCTCATGAGATGATAAGCAGCCTACCTTTCTTTTTGAATTATAACGGATTTATACTGTATATCTCTTTGGAACTAAAATAATATCCTCCATCTTTATACACAGTCTAGCTAGCTGCTGCCTGAGGCTTCATATTTAACGTATGGTATCAATCTTTTCATTTATCATGCTTCCAGAGAGCGAACAAGCATATTTACCAAAATGTCAAACTAGTCTTTTAATTCCTCAGCGCGCAGTAAATGTCTATAGGATCTAATCTAAAAATAATGTAAGTAACAAAGATGAAAGAGGTGAAATGCCACTAATGAGGGTCTGGTTTGTGCTGTGAACCTCTGCTTTGTTCCCATCTGTCAGCGTCGTCATGTGGAAACACTTTTCTGGCTTCACTTTCTATCAGTGAGGGAATCCAGCTGTTAATGTTTCACTGACAGGAAGATATTTGTGTTTTAAGGATCAAGTTATACCACAGCAAAAGATGTCTACATGCTACGAGAACACAAAGCTTAGACAAGAGGTTAAAATACGTGCTCATGGCAGCGTCGCTTCTTCGGTCTGGAAAGCAGGTCGTCATCAGAAAGCGACAAGATGGGCCAGCAGGGCTATCCGGATAGAAATAGAAACAAAACCTTGGCGTTGCCCTCGACCGATGGGGACAGCTTTGGGTGAAGGGGTAAGAGAATGAAGCTTGATGCTGAACTCCAAATGTTTCTGCTAGGTTGGTAAGTTAGCTGTGATTAATGCTGCTATTGGCTGTGTAGCAAATGGCTAAATCTTACACATAGTCCCGTAAAGGCCTCACTCCTTTACCTGAGACCTTATTTAAAATAAATAGATGAAAAATCTCCACAATAAAGCTGTAATCTACCTTTTGCTTCTATAAATGAATGAGAGCAGCTTATCCTAGCAAACCTACAAAGTTGGTCAGCCAAATGAATTATTCAGACACACCGGAGCTCCTACCACAACAGTGAGGTGTATGTTTCATACCCAGATAGGCCAGGATCAGGCTTTTACTAAATTCCTAAACTCCTCATACACACTGTTGAACCTATGCACTCAGAGAAAACAGAATCACTCAATGCTTTGTGGTCAGAAATGTTCATCTCACTTCCTCCCACTATCTACAAATGATGCCAAAATATGGCCACCATCTTGCACACTTGGAGCCGGAGTCTGTTTTGTAGTGATGGGTGGATGGAGCCACAGTAGCGAGGTCCTGCCGTTTCACTCTTTCAACTAACTGAGTGTGTCTCAGCTGTCAGTCATTAGGTTCCAACCCCTTTTATAGCATCAAATAACTAATTAAAACCAAATATACCAGAAAAATTACACAAAACATCTTTGAGAAAAATTCAATTTACTTTTTAGTTTAGTTTTAGCATGTTCCATCTACCAACATGGAGAAGGCAGGGTTTAAGACCTATACTGCCACCAGCCACCAGGTGCCGATCAAGACACTATGGCTTCACTTTTGGGAAAAGCTGTAATGTCGTTCGTATCTGTAAACAGGCTATTACCCGCATTCACATCTTGGGTGGATTTCTTCGGAGAAATAATTTTCAGGGGGTGTTAAGTGATTCTAGATTTCAACACTCGATTACAGTCACTTATTTACTGGATGAGTGTTACTGAACAAAATGTTTGAACGATGTCGCCTAAATTATTCTTAATTTGCTAAAGTGTAGAAGAAAAAAGGTTTCACATAAAGTTAAGGGTGTCTCCTTTGTATTCAGAAACATTTTGTATCCCACAGCCTGGCCTGCTTCAGGGAATAGTCTGTTTCCTAACATTATACAAACGTTTCACGATATCTCACAGACTTTGATAAGGACGGACCTGAAGTGTGTTTACGTTCACTGAATAGGTGTGTCCAGTCCTTTCACCAGCAGAATAAACATATTTTCTACTCTCTCTGGTTAATACTGCTCAAGCACATGTATACAGTCTGGAAATGACAAATACTCGAATCCTTTGCTTTACTCTGTAACTTAATCATTTTCGAGCCTTCTCGCAGTCGTCCCACATTTGCAGAAGAACCACAAACGTTTGTCCGCAGAGTCCCAGCTGTTTACTCATCCCACACAGCAGTGTTTCCTGAACATGTGACTGACAGCATGGCTGCTCTTAATCTGAGATCCAAGTGGAAATCTGACCCAAGCTTTGTGTCTTTTATGTTTGTACTGGAAGTCAGTAGAGATGAGGTGAGTGCAGCCAACTGGTCCGGCCTGTATTAAACACTGTGGTCCCCGTTCTGGGGTCAGGCTTCATCCCCAATCCCCAAACTGGGTTTTATTATTACCAGACGAAGAAGTCTTGTGGTTGAAGTTGTTGTTCTCTGCTGTTTGTTTCCACTATGGGGTCATCATGAACTTAAGATGTAGAGATTTCAGCCAATAACAAGGTCAGTTTTACTAATATGACTTTATTTGATGACTTACATGTGGTACGTGCTGGAATCAAACCTGTGTAGTATTTTGATCTGACTGCACAGCCGTTTCCTTACTTTTCTGTGTGATTGAATATCAAAACACAGTTTGATTCAAGATGTCATCACTGAGGTTACTCAAGGTGATTTTAACGTTTAAAATTTCAAGTTCTCAGTAGCCAAATGCACACAATATTGAATTATTGCACTTTCAGCACCACATGTCTGGTTCCTTCATTACCAATGTACAGGATTTTCAACATGAACCAAGTAGTCAGATTATTTGTGTTAAAGAGATCAGCTTTAAGTGTGATTTATTTTCTTTGCACATCACAACGTTGTAGCGGCTGCAAGCTGTGCTGTTTCGTGGTCCAGAAATATTTCAACAACTATTGCACACCCATGGACCAGAGGGGATGAATTACAAAAGCTTTCAGGTTTTCAACTGCAAAATTCTCATCAACCTCAGCTATACTTTCTCTCTAGCGCTAATCGCATCCTGATCCAAGATGGTGAACATTGCCAAGATTACACATATACTGAACACCAGCATTTTACCATGATAGACTGTATATAAAGACAAACTATGCAACTTTACTTCCTACTATTGTACAAAAGTGAGGCCAAAATATCCCTTGTACGGGTGCGGCCATCTTGCTCTTTTGACATGATTTGGAGCCAGAGTCTGTGCAGTAGTGACCAATTACAGGTCGGACTGTGCTGTCTGCAGTCATGGTGTTTCACCCTGGTTTTATAGCATCAAACGGCTGACAAACATCAGTGTGATAAGAACTAGCCACAATGACAGAAACCATCTTTGAGAAAAATGTTTTTACCCTCCATGCATTTTGATTAGTTTGTCCCATCTATTAAAATGGAGGAGGCAGGGTTTATGACCTATACTGCAACTAGTCACCAGGGGGCGACTAATGATGATTTGGCTTTACTTTTGTGGAGCTGTAGTGTCGGCCATCTGTGTACAATCTATATTAGTGTCATTCTGACTTAGCTTGACCTTGAGCTCTTCATAGTCACACAGACATATGAAACAACTTAAGGGAGTAAAATATTAAAGCAGGTTTGAATTTCTCACATCAAACAGATCCCGGGAGCTGTTCTGATGTTTCTTTGCCTGACAATCATTTTCCAAAGTGCTCTGATCATTGTCATATGTTTTGTGGTCCCTCATAGACATACTGTATTCATCTTTTGTTTGGATGTATAGATCTATATGGATCTGGCTAAATATCGTACCTATTTCCCTAAAACTCATCTCAGAGTGGAAGTGTGTATGTGTTAAAGATGGAAAGCAGCAGCCAGTATATCTCACTGAACTGGCACATTGCAAGTTCTTCCCAACATCTTGATGCCAGACCCACCTCACACTCCTCAGGCCATGTGTTTAGTGCCTAATAAACTTCCATTTTAACTGTTTAAGAGAAAACACACAGAATATACGGGTGTGGATCCTTCTGTTCCGTCCAAGACTAAAAATATCCTGTAACAACGTGAGGTGTGATGAGACTATGCTATTCTGGTGTATATTAGGTATCATTTACAAAGGTGTTAATCCAGCAATGTAGCAAACAGTAGTGATGAATGTGAGTGCTGATTTGTTTATGTAGTATTTACAAATCATTTCATTTAAAGTATTCATGATGAGCCATTCATCCATTAAAACGTACATTCATGCAATGCATCTATATGCAGCACTTTCACATACGCCACTCACACACTGCCAGTACAGCAATTTGCGGGGAGACTGGGATCAAACCACCAACCCTCTGGTTAGTGGATGACCCACTCTACTATTTTGTATTTTACAATTCTTATGTAAATGATCTCCTCAAATGTCAAATGTTCTTACACCTACACTGGTTTTTATCCACCACATATATGATGATGCAAAAACTCCACATCAATTTCTTCTGACCTTTAATTTATTTCAACAATATGTTGAAGGATTAATCCCCTATAATGTATAAAATAGTATTTATATGTGGCACTAAGATCAGATTCAAGTAACACTCTCCTCATTTCAGTTTAGTGGCAATTTTTCCTCTAACGCTACGATAAACATAACAGAACAGAGAGATACTGTTGATGCAGATGCACTTTAACCTCACACATTATGAAAAATTCATTTGTGAAGCGATAAATACATTCAGAACAACAGGAAGTAAAATAAACAAGTTCATATGTAAATCATTTGTCATCAAAATTAAACTCAAGTTATTATAAAAACTTGTTTTTGGCTCAGTGTGGCTGTATGAGGACACTATATTATTTTAAATTTGATTTCCATCGTTGTGTGCACATTTTTACCACACAACATTTCATTTAAAAACATTTTACAAAATAAGACCTTTATGTTTTTGAACAAAATACAGTAAAATATGATATAAACTTTGCACACATTTAAAAGTGGCAGTGATACTATACATTACTACACTACACAATTTCTCATATCTGCTTTTGGATCCTTACAAAAAAATCTTCATATTGTATTCCTACATAATATTCAGACCAGGGTATTTTTCATTAAGTTGTTCCATCTTTCAATCCACACAACATTAAAACATATAGTAATCAATAATGATAATAATGAAGCATCTGTTTATCCCAGATGTTTATCATTTTCTGCTGGTAGAGTTTAGGCCGATAAGCCTTGGGCTCTGCACGGCAGCAGGGTGGTCAGAGGGGCGAAGGGAGGGGGAGTCGACTCCAAGTGAGATGTTGATGAGGAAGGAAAACTCTGTGACGCGGGTGTTTTTTCTGCAGGAGGGAAATACATCGAGACTTCCTGGATGAGGAAAGACAGAAGACATACATATTTCTTTGGTGGCTCTGAGAGCTTAATATACCACAACTTAGTAAAACACATGCAAATAGACAAAAAAAATCCTCATCAATTTATCACACATGCTCTGCAAATACAACACAACCATGTACCCACAACACAACCAAAAACTTACAACACAAACAAATACTCGCAACACAGACAAATACTCTCAACACAACCAAGTACTTGCAACCCATCTGAAGTGTATTCGTGTATTTTAACATTGTGATCACGTGATTCAGATATTTTTGCAGATATATGCTGTTAACCTAGAATTAGCCTTGTGTTATTATTACCTTGTACTTTTTTGAAAAACAGACTTGCATCATGTTGGCTGGTAAAACATGTTAACTTTATCAGATCAACATGTGTTGTCTCTACTAAAAAACATTGTTTTGCCAATGACAAAACAAATAAAACCGTCTCCTGCTTTATTTACAAGCTTTCACCCTCATCTCACCGTTTATAACTGCTCACAAAAGAACCATCGTATTCTACCGTTGACTCATTTTTATTGATGTTCATTGCAGGAAGCAGCCGTTAAGAAGGTTCTCAGCATCTGGTTGATGAAAATGCAACATTTCTTGTGCTAAACACATGTTTACACAGATCAAAATACCAAAACCAACAAGTTGATCAAATGTGGGTGGCCATGACCTCAACAGTGTTTCCACAACTTCTGTTTGAGAAAATGTCGATACATTAAAGGAACTCCCCTGAGATCTAATTTAGACAATGTTTTTCGTTCATTGTTTCTCACCAAGACGTGAGAGATGAAGAATTTATGTAGTGTGTATTTAGCCACACTCAACTAACACAAGAGCAACTGGTCTATTTGTTCACAGTGCAACCACACAAACCAAAACTACATTTTCTTGATGAAACTGTGTGGTCAGTGGTTTCCTCAGAGGCAAACACATGGTATTTTAAAGTGAAAATGCAAACAGAAATCCAGCAGTAACCTGGTGTTACAGAGTGAACAGGGATCATATCAACAAGATAAAATTACAAACAGAAATTTGGGATATCATGCTGCATCATTTCCAGTGAGTTCCTCTTGGGTAGGTCATTTGATTCCAGCATGGGAATGAAATAAAACCACTAATGATAAATTGCATCATAAACTGGATGCTGGAAAAATGTTTGACTGTGAATGGACCCGTTTCAGAAGACAACATCAGAAAGATGTGAGAGAGGTCAAACAGGAATTAAACCAGAATAACCAAATTCTTATGAGAGGATCCTCATGCAGGCAAAAATCTCATTTGGAAACAGAAATGCTCCGGCTGCATGTCTAATATAACTTCACCTCTATCTAGTAGTTTTGCTGGTGTCCTGGACATTGCCCCATTTATAAAAATCCAAAAAATAGGTTTTATTCACATATGTGGTTTTCCAAAGATGTTCAGCTCAACATATCAGTGAATCTACGTTTAACTTTGATTCAGATGTGCTGAACCAGTACCTCAGATTATTCCAATGAATTTAAAAGGGAAACATCCTTCCCTCTGGAGTGTGACATTGGAAACAGAGGACACTGATGTTGTGTTCCACAGTGACAGCTAAAAACTTAGTTCACTTCAGTTCACGTTCATGTCAGAACCAGGTGTCTGTGTTTACGCTCATTCAGTGTTTCAATCTGTTGTTAAATTGAAATCGTACATTTAAATGACTGTGAGCGCTACACTGCCTTAAACGAAGTTAGAAATGGAGAGAAGAGATTCTGAGTAGTGATAGTGCGTCCTAAATATGTTTTAACTAGATTCATGTCATTTATTAAACAGCAAAATACAACATTCATCCACACACTCACCTCTTAAACCAGAGTGTAGTGCTTAAGTGATAGTGTGTGTTAAATTAGTGTGTGTTTGTGTATGTGTGTGTGTGTGTATGTGTGTGTGTACACTGACTGGGTAGAGCTGGGGAACTGTGTGCGTGTTGGTGTTCATCAGTCGAGGAGCTGTTGGGGAAGTCGCGGTGGCTTCAGGGGACTCGGTCACAGTGCTGCTACTCCTCTGATGCAAAGACACACACACAACCACACACGGACCATAAACACAAATAATTGAGCAGCCCTTTAAGGACCATCAACTACATGTTATTTGTTTTATTTTATTGTGAAATAACATAAAAGTCCAAATAAGAAAACAAAACCGGTTAGCCATCGAAATAAAATTATCCAGATGATTAAGATGATCTGATTCTAAGTTTAACACCAGAAACTATTCAAAACAAAACTGTTTTAAACCAAATCCTGTAAAGTACTGTTTATTGCCATGCTTTGACTCTGTGCGTGACTTATTGCCCAGAATATATGAGATTATTTCCTGTTTTATTTTGAAATGACTTTCTTTTTGTATGTGTTGTGGTTTTTA